AAATATCACTGTCCACCCTTTCACTTTGAGTCTGTATTTGTCTTTGGAGCTGAGATGTGTCTCCTGGAGGCAGCTTTGGTTAGGTTTTGTTTTTTCATCCAATCTGCAACTCTGGTGAGTTCAGTCCATTTACATTTAGGGTGATTATTGAAATATGAGGTCTTATTATAGCCATTTTATCTTTTGCTTTCTGGTAGCTCAGTGTTTCCATTGCTTCCTTGTCCTTGTGTTTCTGTTTTCTTTATTTTGGTTGGCTTTTGTGGGTTTTGCCTCTGGTTCTTCTTGTTTTATGTTATATACAATGGTGTGTGGTTACCATTACGAATATGAAAAGGATAGTTTTATATATACAGTTGTCTATTTTCTTCTGCATGTGCCTTATCTCCATTCCCCTTTGCAAATTTGGATCTTTGAATCCTCCCCTTTTCAGTTATTGTTATCTCAGTTTGTCCCTATGTATGCTGAACATTCATTACTATACTATGTTGCTATAGCAATTCTCTTGTTATTATTTAAGCTTATAATGCCCTGTTCTCAGTAAGGGTTGCATTCCTCTGCTTCTATTTCCTGGATAGTCACTTTACTCCTAATTGGTTTTTTTTTTTTTGTCATTTTGTTTTAGGTGAACTGACACCTTTCAGTATTTCCTATAGTGCAGGCCTCATAGTAGAGAATTCTCTCAATTTTCGTATGTCTGGAAAGGTCTTAATTTCTCCTTCACATGTAAAGGAAAGCTTAGCTGAATATATTATTCTAGGCTGATAGTTCCTTTCACTTAATAGTTTAAATATTTAATTCTATTTCTTTCTGGCTTGTAAGGTTTGCGCTGAGAAGTCTGAGGATAGTCTAATGGGTTTTCCTTTATGAGGTACCGTTTTCTTTTCCCTGGTTGCCCTGAGAATTCTTTGTTGTTGATTTTTGATAACTTTAATACAGTGTGTCTTGGTGAAGGCCTTTTTGGGTTGAGATAATTGGGTGTTCTGTTGACTTCTTGAATTCCAAGCGTCAGCTCATTCCTTAGATTTAGGAAATGCTCATCCATCCACTATTTGTCTGACAGTGCTTTCTAGTCCCTGTTTCTTTTCCTCGCCTTTGATAATGCCCATTATTCTTATGTTTCCTCTCCTGATGATATCAGCTAGTTCTGGTATTTCTCTTTCATTCTTTTCCATTCTTCAGTTTCTCTCTTCTTCCTTCGGATTTATTTCTACATTTCTGTTTTCGATATCACCGATCCTTTCCTCCATTTGGTTGACTCTGTTTCTCAAGCTTGTATTTCATTTTTCAACTCTTGCAGTGTGTTTTTTGTTTTTGTTTTTTTTTATCTCCAGAAGGTCTATTTGGTTCTTTTTGAGGGTTTCAATCTCCTTGCTTTGCTCATCTAGTTGTTTTTTCAGTTCCTGAAATTGTTGCTATAACTCATTTCGAAACTCCTGTCTGGGCTCCCTGCTTCTGCCCATTTCCCTCTGTCATATATTCTCAGTAGAGTTATCCTTTAAAAATGAAAGTCTCATTCTAATCAAAAACTATTTTTATCATTGTCAAATTCCCAGTACCTATTAGATTATAGGAACACTAAATCCTCACTTAATGTTGTTGATAGATTCTTGGAACTGTGGTGAAAGGACATGTAATGAAACCAATTTTACCATAGGCTAACTGATATAAACAAGAATTAAGTTCCTGGGGTGTATTCAGAGCAGGGGGCCTGAAGAAATGGCTTCTCTGTTTACAACACGTACCCAACAGGAATCTGGGGTCATTGTGACAAGGGGCACAAAACTTGTGACCTTCCTATGAACAAACACCCTACATGTTTCCCTCTGCACCTCTACATGGCTTCTGTGCAGGACCGATGAGACAGGATTCAATATTGGAAGAAAGGCTGCAGTATTTAGTGAGGGAGATTGCCACCTAGAGCCTATCCAGTGCATGCATGGGTGTGCCATGGATGGTCTTAGATATAAAGGCTTTGAACCTCTCCTTTCAAAAAGAAAAGTTAGGTTCCTCTGGATCTCATCGATGTTATAATGAAATGGTGTTATTTGAGGACCTGCTGTATAAATTGAAATTAATTGAATTAATTAATGAACAAAATGGTCAAGTCTTTGTATAATCGGTCCTCTCTTTGTCCTTCCACATTTATCTTCTCTCCTGGCCCTCTTGCTACATTCCAGATACTGATCTTTTTTTTTTTTAGTTCTGTTTTGTACCATGCTCCCTCCTGTCTCAGAACCTTTATATGTTTATTTTCACTGCTTGGAATACTCTTTCTTCCCCTACAGCCTTCTTTTTCTTTTGTAGTTAATTTCTATTGCTTATTCTTTAGATATCAGCTCAAAAGCCCTTGTTTCAAAAAAGCTCTGCATTAAAACCCGTTACTGTGTGCTTTCTCAGTTGTGCTATTTGATCTTCTGACTTACCAACTAAACTGAAAATTGCACAAAAGAAGGGATCTTGAGTGTACTGCTTGCCAATATATGTGTCTGAATCGTGAATCCTCAATAAGTACTTACTGAATGTTCTCTTCTAGCTCTAATATTCTACCTTGAGGAAGTGGCAGGTCATTCCTGTATGATTAGGAATGTTAGGCTATCAGGAAACCTCGTGGTGTTAAACTAAACATGATTGTACTTAAGTATAATACAGCTCAGCATCATTGGTCAGATGTGGGCTAAATATGAACTTTGTATTTCTCAGTTGACATTCTGTGAAGAGAGATGAATCCAGATAAAATCCGGCTCAAGAAATTCTGGTTTAGAGTCAATGGCAAAGCAGGTGTATCTTGATTGGTATTCTTGTTTATATGTGGGGCATGTAAATAACCCAGTACGTTTTGCTACTTTAATATCAGCAAAAGGTAAAAGTTTGACTAATAATTCTTGTTTTCAGTAATTAATTTTGTCAGTAGTTTCGTTTTTGGGTAGAGTTAGCAACTTTTCATTTTTTTGTTTTAAGGGTTGTTTTAAGGAATCAATAATGTATATGAAAGTACTTCAAAGTACATGTGTAATCTATTATTACTATTATCATTATTCTAACATTGGACAAATAAGTTACTCATTGTGTTTACTCATGTAAAAAATGGGGATAAAAACAGTATTAACCCTATGAGATATCACAGCAATTAGATAACATAGTAATGCATGCGTGCAAAAGCCTGGTACATAGTAAACTGTTGGAAAATGTTCACTGTTATTTTAACTATTATTATTTATTATTTACGATCTTTCTTAAGTTTAAGAACTTCCATTTTTAAGTGATTGTAGATGATCCAGTGTCCACTCTTGGCATTTTCATTATGCACTTTACACTTCAGTTATCTTAACTCCTATAGAAAAGATAAATGGTATTTGTACAGTTAAGTCAGGGTTGCAAATACTGGTATTTTTAAGAGTCTCACATAGAAAACAACAGCATTGGCTTGCTAAATAGAATTGCATAATCCCTTTCTCCAGAAACCTTTTTAGGACAAAATGTGTGTAGTATAATTTATTTCTGGAATGATCTGTTGGTTTCTAAAGCTGAGGATCACTGGATGATTCTGAAAAAAGTGCTAATATCTGCTGATCATCATTCTCGGGATGATGAATGACAGCAGCTACTGTCACTGCTGCTTCTAAAGGGTCTCTTCATTCCCTCACTTTCCCTGTGGGTTCATTAGTAGAATAGGAATATTCCCTTTTCTGATGTAGTCTGTAGTGAAGTGAACAAAATACGATCTGCACTGCCTTGCATAATGTCTGGAAAATAGTGGATATTCACTAAATATTTATAAAATAGAAAGGCACTAAGAACCAGAGCTTGATTACATATGGGAAAATGATATTCAGATGTGTGCCCCAAACACTGTAGGCTTTGTGTAAGAGAGCTGTGGATGAGAGAGATCAAAACAACAGCAGCAAAACCACACTGAAAAGCATGCATTAAAGTAGGGCTTTTCACTGTGGTTTTGGGTATCTTAGTGCTTCTATTACATTTTTAATGTTCTGTATTTTTGCAAAAATGACTCTGGGATACAGTACTGACACTAAAATAAATGTCAATATATATTTTCTTTCAGATTTACCAAAAATTTATCTCCTGACAAGATAAATCTAAGTACCCTTAAAGGAGAAGGTGAACTGAAGAATTTGGAGTTGGACGAAGAGGTGCTCCAGAATATGTTGGATTTGCCAACATGGCTTGCTATCAACAAAGTTTTTTGTAATAAAGCATCTATTAGGGTGAGATTTTGATATCTATGGAAAGCATTTTCTGTTTTTATTTTTTAATTTCATCCCTATGTCTTATAATAAATATTTTGTTTTAGATAATTCTGTAAAGAAGCATTTTAACATAATTTAAAAAGACAAATACCTTTGTCTAAATAATTGCATGAATATGTAGCTTATAAATTTAAAATCATATGCTAATATGTTATTTATAGATTTTCATTTTTGTTTAAAATTTAATATTAACATTTAAATAAGATTGTTAACAGTTTATTAATAAAATAATTGGTTAAATTTGGTACATATGCAAATATTTTTTCAAAGCACTTGTTATCATATGGGACAATTTAAATTTCTAATAAGTAAACACTTAAATGAAAACATAAGGACTGATGAGTTATCCTATTCTGTACATTATATATTTTTTGAAGTCTTATTTCTTTTTCTTATTTGTTTCTTATTTTGAGGGTTTTAAAATTCTCTTTTATTATTATCATTCCTACTTAATAAAACTTACCTCTAGTTACCTTTGATGCTTATCATGTCATATCGCTTCTTGCAAGTCTGCTCAGTAGAACTACTGAATGCTAATTTAGTTCATAAAATTGAAATGGAAGGGTTTCTGAAGGGTTTCACCTTCAATTTTTTGTTCTATCCTCCATAAACCCAAACCAAATGTCTAGAAAGACATCTTTCTAGTGCAGGTTACATTTGAATATAACTTACTTGATATCATCTACATTTTACATTAATGACCTCACTTTTGTATTTGTCTTGAATATCTACAAAATGATTGGTCAGAATTCTAGAATTTCAAAAATTGTTAAATGAACAAAACACTAACTATACTTTGCTGGGAAGCTTAAATCATGAAATAAAAATGTGGATTTTTAAAAATAGCTTGAATAAGTTTTTTTTATGGTGACATTGGTATATATATTACATTGTGTGTTCATCACCCTTTAATTTTTTTTTTTTAAATTACAATTGACATTGAAATTAATTTATGTTAGTTTCAGATGTACAGCATAGTGGTTAAACATTTTAAAATGTGTTTTAAGGACTGGAAAGAAAAGATATTTAAGAGAAACTGAAATTCTTATTTAAAAATATGACTAAGAAAGTATGACTGGTAGTCTTTTATATAAAAAAGGTACATCTAATTTTAAGAGTTTGAATGAATTGCTCAGTTTATTATTTTGCAATTTAGGAAGAAAGTCATCTGATATAATTTGGTATGTCTGTCACTATATTAAGAGAGCACCTGTGTTGGTTACTGTTTTACGTTTTTTTAAATGATTGATTTTAAAGAAAAAAAATTTTTTTTTAAGATCCCATGGACAAAACTGAAAACACATCCCATCTGTTTGGTGAGTTTTGAATTGCCTCAGAAATAAGCATTTATATATGCATATAATCTAATTGTGTTACTATTAATACATTCTGGGATTAGAAATTGCTCTTCTGTAAAATCTGATGATCTCAGCAGTATTTGGCTATTTACAGTTTTTCTCCCATACTCCTGTAATACAATTTTCCATCAGCTAGTAAATGCCTTGAGAAAAGTCTGAGCACATTGTTTTCTGTTTTTGGTACTTGCCTTTTTAGACCTTTGCTCCTAAAGAAATGAAAGAGAAAATAGTTTTAAAGAATATTTTCATAATACACACAAAATTATCTAGTCATTTACATTTTTAATGTATCTTTATTAGTCCCTGGATAAAGTAATAATGGAAATGAGTACATGTGAAGAACCACGAAACCCTAATGGCCCATCACCAATTGCAACTGCTTCAGGACAAAGGTAAGCTGTTTCTATTTATCTTTGTGACCGGCAAAGGAAATTCTTTTTTATAATCATCTCTGTTATCTGCAGTAATAGGACATAAAATAAAATCCCCTAACCTCAAACAGTTTCTCTTTCAGCCATCTCTCCCATCAAATATTTATTTTACAGTTTTAGTATATATGTTGCAAGTAGAATTGATTTTTAGCCTTTTATTCATTTTGCTTTTCTTGATTTTTTTGATCATTAAGTAATAATGATCAAACAAAGGCACAGCAGGTAGCAGAAAATGGAAGCAGTAGAGCTTAGGTATTCTATAAATCAGATGTATGTTATTTATTCTACACATCAGTGGAGCTTTTATGACTCTAAAGATTTAAGTTGATGCCTAGTAAAATTACAGACCTTTTAGACTACTCTTAACATTCATTAAATAAAGAATGCTTGCAGATTGTATTTTGATAGATAAAAATCAAATGCTAGTAAAGTAGAAGCATGGGGGCCATTTCACAAAGCCTTCTTGAAAAGTTAGACTAGTTCTTAAAAATACATCTAAAAAAAATCCTGTTTTTGCATTCAGTGAATTTAGACCTTGTACTATACATCATTTCCTCAAGGCAGGATTTCTGCACTACTTTGCATTGTGCAGCTCTTCATGTAAAATGTTCACGTAAATTTTAATGTGACTAGTGCCTCCTCAAGTTGTACAACATGGCAGCCCTGAACATTTATAGTATTCTGGGTGCTGAGTAAAACCAGTGATAAAACTCATCTTGGAGGTACACATGCATACACACACACACACACACACTCTCTCACACCCTCCTTCTCTTTCACCAAGGTTGAACCACCTTTACATTATTGCATTCTATCAGATGTACAATTTATATTTGGACTATAGGTAATAGTGACTGGGAAAAGAGCTTCTTTGTAGTTTATACATCATCCAGCAATTTGGGATTTTAAAGTTTTGATTGTGTTTTCAGGTTTGATAGAGTAGATTGGAGCAATTGGTCTTTAAATCAGCTAGAGTCAGAAAAATTAGAAAGTGGAGATGATTATAAGATTATTGAAAGAGGAAAAGATCAGGAAAATTACTATTAATGACTTACTTTAGATGTGGCAGAAATTAGGTTTTTGTCAATGTGTGCTAAGTATAGTTGATAATGTTCTAATTCATGTTTTTATAGTTCAATAAGCTTTATAATTTTGGCTTTGTAATGATATGATGATAAAGCTTATATTTTGACGAGTGGCAGTATGGTTCATCTATTTCCACATTTTCCAGACCTCCTTAATTGTAGCAATCACTCAGGGTGTTTATTAAATCTATGGAGTCTTTTAGACTTCTTCTTTTGAAATTATGATTCATTAGGTCTATATTGGTTATCGAGAATATGAGTATGTATTTTTAACATTTCTTTAGTCATGCAACTTAGGGAAACTGATCTATTTGATTTTGTTTCTAGCTAAGAGATTAAAAGAGAGGGAAATTAATATTTAATAAGCTTAGAGGAAACTTGTAAATTGAAATTTCATCTTTTTAATTTATAATGGATGATTTCTAATATGTAGACTTTAGTCATTGATTCAAGCATCACCCTTCTGTTGGTAAATCCTGCAATACAATTGTAATACTTTTTAATGTGCGTAGATTAGAACAGATGGGGTTGGGTATTCTAAAAGGTATTCCTACATAATTATTATGGAAATTTTCTTTCCAAATCCAGGAATATTTCTACCTAAGTGACCTATATTTGTCCTTAGGATCAAAGCAACTCCTCCCTAGGATGCTTCATTTCTCAATTTCCTAAACCCAAGGTAGATAGCCACCTCCTTTTGTAACAAAACTACCTCAGAGAAGCCAAGGACTATATAAATTACCAAACATATACTGTTTTAATTAAGGACCTCAGCAACCTTTTGAAATAGGTATTATTTTCATTTTACAAATGAGGAAACTGAGGCACATAGACTCAATAGTTTTAATAATATGCTACTATTAATGATACTATAAATAATAGTTATATTTTATGAAATATCATGAGTCAAGAGATGGACTATTTGGTTCATATGGACTATTTGGTTCATATGCAGTCCACATATAACCTGCAAAGTATTATCTAATTTAAAAGATAAGTCAGCTGAGGCCTAGAAAAGTTAAGTAATTTACTTATTTATTAAGGTAGTAAGTCAGCAGCAGGTATAGGGGAGGCAAGCACATGATCCATAAAGATATTGGGTTCACTTTTATGCATGTTGGCTTTAAATGTGTGACAGCAAGCCTGGTGGAGCTATCTGATGGACATTTGAATTTTACAGTCTAAAGTTCCAGTAAGAGATCTGGATAGAGACATAGTAAATGCTCAATAAATATTTGCTGACTTGAATTAGAGAATGTGAAATATGTCTGACCTCATTCCTAAATTATGAGATTATATTCCAATTAGACTGTAGTATTATTCTTCAAGAATTTAGCTCTCTTATTTATATGAGAGATGCCAGTTGTCTGGACTAATGCTTTTTGAGAGTAGGCAACTTGGGATACTATTTATAATGATTTAGAGAATATCCTCCAATTTTAAAAATCTTTTATTATTTTGAGAAGAAAAGTTTTCGAATTTATGTAACCAGGCTAGATTATTGTTTTAACAAAAATTTTATTTTTTAAGTCAAAGTGAACATTATGGTAGTTTGTGTACTTGTAGATAACTTTTATTGTTTTAATGGTTTTTTTGGCTTTAGTGCATTATATTTTGTTTTGCTTTATTTTTCTAGTGAATACAGCTTTGCTGAAAAAGTAGTTGAGGGAATTACTGTTTCTGTAAATTCCATTGTCATCCGCATTGGAGCAAAAGCCTTCAATGCATCCTTTGAGCTTTCCCAGCTACGGATCTATAGCGTGAATGCAAACTGGGAACCTGGGGATTTAAGATTTACTCGCATTCAGGATCCACAGAGAGGAGAGGTAAAGATTTTCTTCTTTCTTTGTTTAAAAAATAGTCACCGATAAATAAAAGGATATTTAAAGCAATTACTTCTTATGGTTACCTAGATTCACATACTGCTAGATTTACTCTTGCTTTTTAACTATGCTTTTCTGTTTTAATCATTATTAAATATGCATATTTTAATGTTCTTTCAACTTATAGAGTTAATAAGTCCTATTTTAACTTCACAGCTACTCAGAAGTGAATTTTAAATTTAAAAACTAAAATATGTTATTTAAATTCTTGGTTACATGATTCAAATGCTCTTTGTAGTTTATATTTAAATAAGTTATGTAGAATAAAAGTATTAACAGCTTTACAGATGAAGAATATAATTATGAAGATGTGTTACTGAATTTGTTGGAAGTATACAGTTTCAAAAAATAAAATCACAGTGACTGTATCTAGAATGTCATATGAAAATTAGTGAAGAGATAGATTTCTAATTTTTTTTTACAAATCTACATATTTCTCATTCGATTTTGAATGAGTAGGTGAAGCTAATCTCTGTGTTTTCTTTAGGTTTTGACATTTAAAGAAATAAATTGGCAGATGATTCGAATAGAGGCCGATGCTACCCAAAGTTCACATCTTGAAATTATGTGTGCTCCTGTTCGATTAATAACCAACCAATCAAAAATCAGAGTCACACTTAAAAGAAGAGTAAGTCAACAGGGTTACCTTTTTGATTCATGTGATAACTATTGTTAGGAAATTTAAAGTAATTTTTAGACAAAACATTGGCATATTAAAACAGTGCAGAATAAAAGGAAATACAGTACTTTAAGCAATATTTGAAGAAACCTAGTGTAATGATAACATTTTTCAGTCTTCTAGATTTAATACTTAGATTTTTATTTTTCATAGATGAATAGCTTTCTCAGTTGCCAGATATTTGTTGAACATTAATTGTTCTTTAATTTCACTTATTCTATTTGAATCTTGTTTAGGAGTGGGTAAACAGCAAAACCTTCATTACCAGTAACCAAAACTACTAGCTTTAGAAGGTTATTAGTAAGATATGACTGATAATTTATATGTAGATAGGGAAGATAGTTACTTAAGGATGTCAGAAGTTGGGTATCCACTGTAGATTGTGATGAAATTTAATGAGAGAGTAGTGACTTTTTTTAACCATGGCTTAATTAAAGCCTCAACAACATGTTTTGTATCACTAGACACAAAATATTATACTAAATTAAATTGAAATTTTTTTCAGAATATGACAATATTAATATTCCAAAGTATGAAATGTTAAAATAGTTTCTAGTTTTAAATTAATTTTAATGTCCCCTTTTCTACTGGAATTAGTTGAATTAACATAGGTAATTAAATGATTTATTAACTATAAATGCAAAATTAAATTATATAAGGATGTGTGCTTACCTGTTTAGGTACAGGAATTTGGCGATCTTTCTTACTGCGGTATCTTCAATATAAGGAGATATTCCTTCCATATTATAGGAACCAGTAAATATTTGGAGAATGAAGGAAGGATCCATATTTAAGTCCATTCAGAAATTTTTTAAAATTTTAATAGAAGTACATTATAAGTTTTATTTCTTGGCTTAATTTTATGAATCTTTTTTTTTTTTTGACAGTTAAAAGACTGCAATGTCATTGCAACAAAGTTAGTTCTAATATTGGATGACCTATTATGGGTTTTAACGGATTCTCAGTTGAAGGCTATGGTACAATATGCAAAATCTCTTAGTGAAGCAATAGAAAAATCAACAGAACAAAGGAAGAGTTTGGCTCCTGAACCTACACAGGTATGCTATTAATAGGAAAAAAAACCTTACTTTACATGTAAATGGTTTAAAAATCAAAATGGTTAGTTGTTTTCTTTATGTGAAATAGATTATAATACTTTAGGTCCAAGAATCTTCTTATATATCATACCATATAATTTTAAATACATTGTTATCTATATGAAAACATTAAATGTATATCTATTTAGTGCTTATTTTGTTTGGAGGTCTGTACTAGGCACTAGAGTTAATGATGACATACAAATATTTGATGTTATAAATATCTCTTTAAGGGGTTAAAAATATATAATTTAAAAATTACTAAAGTACGGACAAAAGGAAAAAACTTAGGTAATTATAGTCAAGGGAGAATTAATCGTATAGAAAACTAAAACCCTGGTGAACTGCTGAAGTAGAACACAAAGCTGTTAGAGTCGTCCGATGGCTGGTGCAAGAATGGGGGGAGCACAACGAGCTATTTAATGATCACTTTCTTAAAATCAGACGCTGTACTAGTTTTGTCTCAGGAGACAAGGGTTTTCTAAAAATCTTTCCTAGTATTAAACTTTGAGAATTTAACATGAAGATGTTTGTAGAAGAGATATTGAAAATCCCAATGTGTAGTGCAGTGGTCCCCAACTCCCAGGCTGAGGACAGGTGACAGGGCGGCTGCACAACAGGAAGTGAGTGTGGCAGTCAAGGGAGCGAAGCTTCATCTGTATTTGTAGCCGCTCCCCAGCACCAGCATCACCGTCTCAGCTCCACCTCAGGTCATCAGGCATTAGATTCTCAGGAGCACTGATCTTTGGTGCTGGAAAGGTTGGGGACCACTGGTGTAGTGTCTTTTGATAATTTTAGTAAATGTACAATTGAATTTTTATATTAAATGTCAGCTGAGCGTAAATGAATCAGGAGGCTTTGCTAGAATTAAATGACAGAAAGAAGTTTTATTCAGGAGTCTTAAATGAATTGCAACTTGAGAAATACTACCAGGCAATACCCACAGCGTTCAGAAGCAAAGAGAAAAGGAGAGAGTTTTTACAGTAAAAAGCACATACTTGAGAAGAACCAGTGCTACATTCTTAGCCTCTGGATTGGTCCAAAACAGTAATCTCCCATAATGCCAGGTGGTCTAGATAATAGAACATTCTTTCCTAAGTATGTCAGGTAGATAATAGGTATATTTTTTTCCTCAATTCTTCAGATTGTTATCTATAGAATTTATGTACACCCAGGCATTGACCACAATTGAAAAGTTTGAAAGTTTAAGTCATCAGGCTAGCTAAAGTAAAATAAAATTGTTTCCTCATATTTCAGCTCACTCAAATTTAATTAGTTTTGTTAGCTTGACTATAGTGACTCAATTCATTTTGTTTCTTCACTCTTTTCCTCACTACTCCTAATAAAAACTTAAGGGATATTGTGAAATACTTTTGTGAAGTTTGCAGGAAGTTTGGAAACAAAGTAATATATTTCAGGTATATAGCCTGTTGGTGATCTGACTTGGTACATGGGAGTGGCATACATTTAGGCTTTCCTGTGACTATCAAATTGGCATTATTTACTGCCTGCCTCCTTTGTCATAAAGTGCAAGGCTAGACTGCAGATATAAAAAATGAATATTGTCTCACCTTGTCCTCAAGGATATCAGGATTGTAATGAGGACTCAAATATAAAACAAATCATTGCAGTTCAACATAAATGCTAGAGTGCAGAATTAAGAAGAGGGACCAGGAGCTGTTGAAACAGAGAAGTTTTAATCAACTGCTTGCAGAATTTGGAAAGGTTTCCCAAAGAGTATAATAAAATTAAGTCTTAAAATGAGTAGAAGTTTATAGGTGAGGGAAAGGAGGGTATGTTAGGTGAGGAAATAGAATTTGCGAAAGTGTGGCAGTGTTGAGCATGGTATTTCCTGATAAGGTAAGGACTTTGGTGTTACTAGAGCAGTGTTTTTGAGAATGAGGTACGCATGTCTCTGGGATATGTGACAACTTTCCAGGTTTTAAGGAAACTGAGTACCACATCTTCCATTTTGATCTGTACTCTTAATGTTAGTCTACCTGAGAATGTTTGTGTTAAGGTGTCAGACTGGTTCTCTCTTTCCACAATTATTCTTATCCTGCTTTACAAGTGAAAGGCATTCTTATTTGTCCTCATTCTTACTGTGATGGATTTGTCCAGGAAGGAAGGAAAAACAAAACAAAACAAAACCTTGGCAAACAAGATAGACAATTTGAAGTAGATGGGGAAAATCATAAGAAAAAGTGATTTTTTTTTTGATGGAAATCAGTTTAACAATTAGTAAAAAAGTTTTACTTGAGCCCCAAGTAGTAATAGTTTCACAACTATAGTTCATGTTTTATTACTGTGGGCCCCAATTATTTTCGTTGAGATTTTCATTTACTGAGTATACTTTGAAATTTTTTTATAGTATGATTATAGTTCTTAAAAGATGTAAATGTGTATAAATACAAGATATATTTAATTTTTCATAAATAACTATTATTAATGAATTGTTCTTAATTAGAAAGTTTTTAATATTTTATAATGAAAAATTTGGTCTTGATTTTGTTTATTATTACCAAAGTTTCATGTACACTTCTAAGACTTATAGATCATCAAATTATGTATGCAGAATAATTTTAGGCTATTAGAGGTTCACATATGTCTTTACACTTCACTAGTATTCTATTAGTTTTTTCTTTGAGGAGAAAGGAATTCGAACTTACAGTCTATTATAAATCTCTTCTGTTATCTAGCTTCTTTAGATATACAAATTCAAAGGACATACCACACCTTATAAGAAGCACCCCAGCACTTATAGTACTAAATACCACAAGTGCTTTTACATAGAAGTGATTTATTTCTACATGCTGTGTAATAGTGTATATAGCTGACGTATACAGGGCTCACATTTGTTTTCTTTTTTAATCTATAGAACTAATAATAAATAAGATGCCTTTAGTAGTTAATATATTTTCTAAGATAAGAAGGGTTATAAATACATAAATATAACTATTCAAATATTTACCAAAACATATTAGGTTCATATTCAAATTGTATATAGTTCTCTAGTTTTTGGATTTCAGTTTTATTCCTATATAATGCAGAAAATATTTTAAGGAAACTGAGTTATTGATTCAAAAGAAAGTGTATTAGCTTATTTTTCATCGCTTTATTCCTAAAAATATTTACATTTTCTTGTGTGAGGAATTTCAAGTATTTAATGTGTAGTAATAAGGCAATTTTGAATCTTTTAGAGCTCTACAGTAGCCCCATCTGCACAGCAAGTGAAGACACCACAGACTTCAAATGCTCCTGATCTAAATGATGCAATTGTGAAACTATTTAATGACTTTGATGTTAAAGAAACCTCTCATCATTTAGTGATTTCTCATCTAGATCTACACATATGCGATGATATTCATGCTAAAGAAAAAGGTAATAAAAGCTGTTTATTTCAAACTTTTTTTCTAGAATTTACTATAAGACTGGATTGTTTATCATATATAATTTGTAATATGTACTATAACTGGTTATAATTTTATCATTCTAATGAGATACATGAAAGGTGTAATGTTAAGCACTGCATATTGGCATAAAATTTCATTTTGTTTTAATAGTACTTCAGCACAATTGTTAGCTATGAATACTAACAGTAGAATTAAGTTTAAAAATATCGAAGACTGAATAGATGACATCCTTAGAGAATAATGAATATCAAATTGGTCTTTGAATTAGCTTTTTCATAATTTTGAAATTGTCCATAAATTATTCTTTAAACCGAATTTATAATTTGCACATGTGTTTTTAGCGTGGTGTTTTAGCTACATTTTTCTGATTTCGTGTTCATGTAATCCCAACTATGTGGCTGTTTAACATTTCTTGTGTCTCCTTCCAAATCCTCCTAAAATTTGGATGGGAAGCCAAATTTCAGGAAGTTTTTTTCTTTCTTCTAGCTTTTGTTTCTCTTATTTTCCCTTACTTAGTAGACAAAGGTATCAGGGTAAGCAGGAAGCTATTTGGTCACTTTGAAAGTCCTTCTCCAAACTCCAAATCTTCTTCACCTTTCCTGCTTCACTCTTTGATCTTGTAGCCTTGTATGATGAAGGCAGGATAATTTCTACTGCTAAGTGTCCAGGATCAGTGACAACACTTATTAGATTGAATTGCATTTCCTAAAATCCTTAATATATTATCAATGATAACAGAGAGAAAGAGAGTTATTCCTGCTTGAACTGCAGGTATGGTACATTAAGTGTTTCTGGTATTTGCTTAATACTTTTTCCTCTTAAATCCATCCTTTTCTTTTCCCAGAGTCAAACAGACGTATTACTGGAGGGGCTATGCAACTGTCTTTTACACAGCTAACTATAGATTATTATCCTTATCACAAAGCAGGTACGTATAGCAATTTCTTAAAAAGACATAAATCTTGCTTTAAAATTATATAGCCGATTTATTTCATTTTGTTTTGCTGTATTATTTTGTTCTAATTTTTTAAGGAGAAAAGGGATCAAGACACTTGTTATTTTTCCCTTGTAGTATCTTACCAAGAAAATATAATTGCCATAGAAAATATTCATGCATTTTTATATTTACGTTTATGTAGCTTATCAGAAAGTGTAATTGTTAGAAATTGACAATATTTTAAATAACCAATTTAAAACTTAAAAATTCAGAAAACAGAGGACATATATTTGTGTTATTTTGGTAATTGTGACAGAAACTTATTAATCAGTGTTTGGATTTTTAAGTGATATATTTAGATATTTTTAAAAATCAAAAAAATATAAAGCAAAAGGATAACAGTGATTTTAGCTAAGTTGTAGGAATACAGAAACTTCTTTTTAAAAATCTATATTTTCTAAATTTTATCAATTAATAAGATTTAATAAGATTCTTAATAATCAAATATTGATATATTCTTTTCCCTCAAATAATAAAAACAGTATGTGCATATATGGCCAAATTAAGTAATTTGACCTTACAACCATCTCTGCATTTTGCTGGTTTGTGGCTTTTTCTTTTTAATTCACACAAATAACTATAATGAGTTTTTCACGACTTTATAAAGTAAAAAAAGTTTCTGTTCATAAATTTTCATTTCTCAGTATTTGTCATTTCTGTATCAGTACCTGACAGAATTTAAAGGTTGTGCTATTTCAGTTTTTGTTTGAAGGGCCTTGTCTTATATTCTGTTCCTCTTGATTTATAAGGTACTTATATATATACATACACACACACTTAAAGTAATTTTACTATAGAAATCATTCATACTGGGATGTAAAATTTCCAGTCATAAAGTAGATTTTATTTTCTTAACCCTTTTAAGAGTATATTACTTTCCTTAGTTCCTGCAGAGAAACCTAATAATCCTGATTTTTAAATTTTTCCTCCAAAAAACCTATATAGATATATCTTTATGACTAATGTCCATCTTGAGAATTTTTACTGGTTTCTTCAGGTTTTTAATAATCCTCATCTTATTTTTTTATGGGTAAGTTTTTGTTAGTCACTTTACAACAAATCTTTGATGAGAATAGTTTCTTTTATGATATTTTCTGGGATTGTGTCTAATTGAGATATGCCAAGTGGTTGAGCATTCAGCGAAGGTTTTGACTAGAAGTGCTGCTTCTAACTGAAACTTTGAATGATATTCTGCCAAGGGTAGGTTCTAGATAGAAACTCTCCCAGATTATTTGCTTTTGACATTCTTTCCTTTGTTTTAAATGTTTGCTCATATATTCTAGGGAAATTAAAATCAGTAATAAGTAAGGCTGTATGTTTATTGGAAGGTTAAAGAATCCTTTGAGAATATGAATCTCATTAGAAGCATTGCTATCATAGAATAAATGAAAATTGTGACGTTTTCAGTGAAATTTCTTGTTATTCATTTTATAGGAGATAGTTGTAATCATTGGATGTATTTTAGTGATGCAACCAAGACAAAAAATGGATGGGCCAATGAGTTGTTACATGAATTTGAATGCAACGTTGAAATGCTTAAACAGGCTGTAAAGGATCATAATGTAGGTTCACCTCCTAAATCCCCAACTCATGCTTCTCCTCAGCACACACAAACAGGTATTTTACCTATAACAATATTATGGCATTCCCCTAATATTTTGTGTATGTGTGCGTGTGTGTGTGTGATCGTAATACATTTTCTGTAAATAACTGTTATGTTTAATTAATGTATAAAAATCCTGTACCTCATTCAGACCATAGACTTATGGAATAAAGCACTTTTTAAGTTAATATAACCAATAAGAGTAATACTCAGGTAGAATATTTCAGACTTTTAAATGGCTAGTAAACCTTTTTTTTTTTTTTTTTTAAATAAATCCAGCCAAAAGTTGCTGTATGGGAGAATCTTAAAATATGATATGTGTGATTACTGTTTAAAGGATAATTATCACAAAAAAAGAATAGTTACCATTTTTATGTCAGTTTATATATAAAGTATTTCCATATATATTATCTCATTTGAGAAATTAGGGTTCATCTATATTTCTAGTAGCTGTCACAATAATAAGAGTGACTGTTAGAATAAAATTTACAGTAATTTGAAAGGAGTTTTTGTTTCCCACAGAGAAAGACTCAGCTTTGAAAGGGACTTCCAGAACACCTTCAGTATTATCTCAACAATCTAAAGCTAAGTTAATGTCTAGTTCTGTCGTGGTTAGACTTGCAGATTTCAATATCTACCAGGTATGTATGTTTTACATTTTAAGTTACATTTTCTGATAAATACCTTTAGTATCTCTTGCAAGCAACTCTTATAAATTAATGCCACCATTTTATTTAAAAACATCTTTACCAGTTTTATGAAATGGCTAAATTAGACAGGATTGAAAATATTAGTGCATTACTTTTTGTTTATGTACTTAACCAGAATTAGGCAAACTGTGAGGTTATGGTCACAGTCTTGTAGATTGCCAAGTCTGCACAAGACTTCTGACACCAGTTGAAAGTTCAGAGATTTTTCTAAACTACCCACAGATTTGAGAATTCACTAGAAAAATTCACAGAACTCACTGAAATCAGTTATGTTCTGAGTCACATTTATTACAGAGGAAAGAATACAAATTAGAACAGCCATAGGAAGAGAACGCAGAGTGGAGTCTGGGAGGGTTCCAAATTTGCAACTTCCTTGACCTCATAACACATTAGCCTCCTGGCGTGGACGTGTAACTGTGTATGAAATACTACCCATGTAGCTGAATTCAGTCTCTAGGCGGACTGATACTAGGGAACCCAAAGTGCCCATCCTCTAAACACAGCTAAGGGTATCAAAGTGTGGCCAACCGTACTCCGAGATATCTTATGAACATAAACTATCAGTTGTGGTCCCAGGGGTCCACATAAATGGGAGATTCCAAGGGTTTAGAATTATCTCCCAGGCTCAAAGACAAAGGCCAGACCTCTCTGTGGAGGCCAGATTCCTTATTACACAATTGTCTTAATGGAAGAAACTGAATTGCCATTTTTGCTTTATTGAACTACCAAGTATTGGCAATACTGTGAACATAATTTTATAGCTAAGAACTTTGTCTCGTTTATACTAACAATCTTATTCAGGCTGTAATCTTGCAACATGGTCTAACTTCACAGTCCTTGAGACCAACATAATGAAATATGTGACTTACTTTTTAAAAATGAAAGAAAGTATTTCAAAGGTATATTAGCATTTATGAATTGTTCTCATTTATTTTGTTAAGACTTTGAGACTTAGTTTTCTCTGAACAGTTTTCATTTTACTCATTGGTTTTCAATTGGGGCTGATCTTGCCCCGAAATGGACATTCGACATTGTCTGAGGACAATTTTGGTTGTCACAGTTGGAGGGGTTGCTGCTGACATCTAGTGGGTAGAGACCAGTGATGCTGCTAAACATTCTACAATGCACTGGACAGCCCCCATAATGAAGAATTACCTGGCCCAACATGTCAATAGTGTGGATTTTGAGAAACTCAATTTAACAGTTATTTTCTTATTGTGCATTTGCTTCTTTCTTTACATTCTCTGTATAATGCATCTTATTTGAAGCATGCACTTTAAAGTATGAGGTTTAAAAATGTCATATGGAAATGGGGGAGGGGAATCACCTATAATCTCAAATGGTTGAGGCAAAATACAGTAAAGAAATTCCACATACACAAGCACACCAAAACAAAACAAATAAAAGTAGCTAGAAAAAAATAAAATAGTACGTTTATTCTATTTTGAATAACTTCTTAACTATTAAAGAACAAAAGGAATAAGCTGCCATATATTAAAGTAACTTGACACTTTGAGTTGAAAAAGATTTATTTCCGTATATGCAGAGAAAAGCTTCTTAATTAGATAATGTAAGGAACGGACTTAAATTTATAAACACTGTACAAATAATCAAAAGATTTGATTAGCAGTTAACTTAAGAGGAAGCACAAATAAACCTTTTAAGCATTTCACTTTATAATATACATGTTTGTTGAATGAATGAAAAAATTAAAGTAGCCTTGAGACACATTCTTGAGTCTGTTAAACAAGCATAAGTAAGTGAAATTGATATAACTATTAGTTGAACTTAAGGGAAATTAGTGTATATGTTTTAAATGTAATTATAAATAATCTGAGGGGAAAGTGAAAAAATATGAGAACTTTTAAACTAATAGTCTTTTTGGAAAAATAATGTAAGAAATCAAATATTTCATAGAAACATTTATAGTTGTATTATTTCTTAATTTTTATTGTGGTAAAATATACCTAACATAAAATTTAACATTTTAATCATTTTTAAATGTACAGTTCATTGGCATTAAGTATATTCACATTTTTGTGCAGTTATCACCACTGTCTATCTCTATAATTTTTTTATCATCTCAAACTGAAACTCTGTATATAGCTATATTACTTTTTGTAATAATAAAGATATTTTGGTAGAAAATTATTATATATTACATATAGAGGAGAATTTTAATTTTTATGTGAATCTGTCCAGACTCTGCTATTTACTTATTTGTATTAAAGAAATATTCTTCCTATTATTCTAAGGCTCAAAATAATAAGTTTGCAAGAGTTAATTTTGTAATTGATAATCCAAAGAATTAATAGTTTTCTGAATAGTTAATTGGTGTTATTTAAAAATAATTTAATGTAAAGCTAAATATATAATAAAGTTTTCATTAGAAATTAAGCATTAATAAATTATTGGAAGTAGTTTTAAGAGTTTGAAGTGATGTCCATGCTGCATAAATTCTCTGGAACGGGTGTTATTCAGTGTCACTTCAGTATAAAATTATTTTTTCAGGTCTCTACAGCAGAACAATGTCGTTCTTCCCCCAAAAGTATGATTTCTTGCAATAAAAAATCCCTGTATCTTCCACAAGAAATGTCAGCTATCTATATAGAATTCACAGAATATTACTATCCAGATGGAAAGGATTTTCCAAGTAAGAGTTTCCTATTTTGTTATTATTTGTCCATTTCTTAGGAAGTTGGTTTTTTTCTTGCTGTTTTTGAGTCTTACAAACATGAAAAAGGAAACAAAGATCTATTGTTCTTTAGTTATCATTGTATGTAGCATATAACTCTTGTGTAGCATTTTTACATATCATTTGTTCATATGTTATTTTCTCTAACTAGCTTGTAGCATACTTGATGTCAGGAATCATGTAGTATTCGGGCTTCATTTTATCCCTGAGTTTTGACTCATTTTTGTACTTAGTAACGTTTAGTGAAAGTTAGGTTAATTATAGAATAAGGTCATTATTTTTCCTTTGGAAAAATTCCATTTATATTTCTGCTGTATAAAATAAAAAAGTCTGTAGTTCATTGAAAAATGAATAATGAAGTTGTCCTTTTAGCAACAGAGAATTTTTGGGGCTGGTTTTTAATGCCCATATTTATACCTTGGACAACTTTCGGCACTTGCGTTAGAAACATTGAATTAACACGAATTGTTATTTGTAAGCTACTTGGGCTGCCTAAAGTTAAAGTGATTATAATTTGTGTTCTTTGAATGTTAAAATTCTGTGCTAGGAGTTTTTCAAACTAAAATTTGCCTTTGTTTATGTGGTACCTTTTTCATTATCATAGTTGGAAATCATAATTGAGAAAAAGTGTTTAAATGAAATAGGTTATGTTATTGGAAGAAAGACATTTTATGTCCTCTCTTTAAAAGTGTAACTCCAAAATAGTTTGACCTACTTTGCTCATTCGTTTAATATTGACTTAATATAGGTTCCTAGTTTCAAAGGGAATTTCTGACACTCATGCCTTTTTTGTTAAATAAAAAGCAGGTATTCTGGAAATTAGATAATCAGGTGTTGAACTATTTCATTGCTTTAATTTTTGTTTGTGCCAAACATTTGGGATCCACTCTTCACCATTTTTACACTATTCAACAGTCTTTTCTGTATTTATCATTTGTTTGTTTCTTCTACCTTTCTGACTAAAACGATGAGAAACTTAAGACATTTGCTCAGCACCTTATAAAGAGTAAAATGGCACAGCTGAAACTCAAGCATGGGTCTTCTAAATTGAAATTCAGTGTTTTGTTTTCTTCCCACTGTTTCCCCAGGATAGTCACAGCCATTTCTCTGTAATTAAATAATCCTGTTGTTTCCAGCCCTCTTCCATACCCCTCAAAAGTGTTTTCCTTAAATAATCCATCATTGAACTAGAAATTTTCTTCAGAGCGAAGTCTGGTTTCCAGAATTTCTGATTTATAATCTATGTTTATTTCTATCAATTTCGTTAACATTTGCCAAAGGAATTATAATCCCATTTTATAATCTATACTTTTTTCCTGATAAAAATATAAAATTCCCTCCTAGCAATTTAAAACCTAGCCCCCTATATACCTAAAAGTTTAATTGCTAGGTTATGTTTAACTGTTTTTAATTTAATGTTTTATTATGGAAAACTTTAAAACATACGCAAAAGAGGGTAGTATATGGAATCCCCAAGTACAGAGATCCGTTTTCAGTCCTCATGTCTCATCTCTCTGTTAAGCGATCCAACTTTAAACACATATAACTTTTTAAATATAGTATGTTCATTATATTTTTTTAAAAAAGAAAATACCAAAAATAAAAAATGGCCTATGCACCTTTAATTTAGAGACAATTTCTGCTAAAACCTAAGTGTATTAGTTTACTAGGGCTTCCATAACAAAGAACCACAGACTGGGTGGTTTAAAGAACAGAAATTTATTTCTTCACAGTTCTGGGAACTAGAAGCTTTAAATCAAAGTGTCAGAGGATTGTTTCCCTAGAGACCTCTCTCCTTAGCTTGAAGATGGCCGTCTTCTCATTGGTCTTTCTGATGTCAGAGAGCTCCATGGGGTGGGGGTCCAAAGAGGAATCCAACCCGGAGCTTTGGAGACCAGGTTCTTGTCTTATGCCAGTGAGAAAGAATTCAGGGACAAGACAAACAGCAAGCAGGAAAGTACAAGGTTTATTAAAGCAAAAGTACACAATTAAGATAAAGCGTAGACGAACTCAGAGGGAGTTGCTCCAAGCTTTCTGCATTATGGGGGATGGGTCACTGGAGACATGGTACTCGCAATGCAAGTGATATTATAATGATATTATGATTAGCTAAAGCTATCCATCCTGCCTCCCAGTTTTGGCTAGTCTCTCATGTCACCTGGTGAGGAGGGGGTGGCTCAAGGTCATCTGTCTTGTCTCTGGGCCTTGGCTTGTTTCTCACAAGGACACATCTCATGTCATGTCTCACGCTTGGAGTCAGAACAGGGAGAGGGCTGTGTGGGAGACTAAGGAAAAATTCCAGAGCTACATCTCAATGGGAAGGGGGAACGTCCCTAAGCTAACGGTCCTGCCTCATTTCCTCTGTTTGTTATCTGTTTCCTAATCTCTTTTTGTGACACCTATCATATTGGACTAGAGCCCATCCGTACAAATTCATTTTTACCATAATTGCCTCTTTAAAAGACCTGTCTCCATATCCAGTCACATTCTGAGGTACTGGAGGTTAGAACTTCAGCATATCAGTTTTGAGGGCACACAGTTCCAACCATAACAAGTATAGTGTTGTTAGTCCTGTTTTTAATGTATGTGTTTCTTTTGCAAACTTGATTTACATCCTGTTCTTTTCCCTTAATGATATAAACATATTCCAGGTTTCTACAAATTCATTGTAAATGTCTTTAGCAGCTCTATAATACTCTTATTTCATAAGTAGACCCTTGTTAGAAACTGCATCTGGATCTTTCTGCTGCTTAGACAGGTTTTTCCCTCTGTCCGAGAACTGCAGTCATGGTTCTTCTTTCCTTCTGTGCTCTCGCCTTGGGGACTACATCTGTGGCTGCCACCATCACTTCATTGATGTCTGAGATTCCCTTTCATTCCTTTCCTTCCAGAGTGTGACATGATCTCAGCACCCCACTTTCTTGGTATCCCCAAAGACAAGCACCTTTACATCTCAATTAAATGTCTCTGTTAGACTTGAATTACAAATTTTCTACTTTCACGTCTTTGTCTTGTGTAATGGTCTATGAACTTTTTAAGGAAAACCATGCCCTATTGTTTTTTATTCTTCGTGCTTAACACAATACACAAAATGTAGTTGGCATTCAATAAATATTTGCTGAAAGAAAGTGAATGACTGAATGAATGAACAAATGAATGAAAGCAAACAAGAAATCCTGCTCAGGACTTTGTTACAATGCTGTCTCTACTGGTATCCCACACCTTGGGTTTATTTTCCTCAAATTAATAGTTTAAAAGTTCTAGATATGCATACTGTTTACTTTGTTACAAGTAAATAGATCTAGATTTTTGGAATAAAATATCTTCATCGAGATGCTGTGAAAAAGGTATTGGCTTTTATGATGCAGACTTTAGAAAGTGATGTGTATTCTAATTACAAATATAGTTTAACATATATTAGCACTAAAGCATTTATCCAACCCCTATGCATTCTAATACTTGGGGGGAGCTATGAAAAAGAATGCGTTCATTTGATTATTTAAGAGATACTTGAGTTTTTTTGCACGAAGCATTATTCTAGGTTTAGAATTAAGTGGAGACAAATGTTTGCCTACCTGAATTTGTCATCTGCACATGTCACTTTAATTTTATAAATAACATCTGAAAAACTTTTTACCTTAATTAAAAAAGAATAAAACTTGTTTAAAATGTCTTTGTTGTTCTCAGGGAAGATTGAGAACTATCTGTTTATTAAAAATCTTTTAAAAATTTTTTTTTCCACAGTTCCATCTCCCAACCTTTATAGCCAGCTGAATGCACTACAATTTACTGTGGATGAAAGAAGTATTCTGTGGTTAAATCAATTTGTGTTGGATTTAAAACAGAGTCTTAATCAATTTATGGCTGTATACAAGTTGAATGACAATTCAAAGTCTGATGAGCATGTTGATATTCGAATTGATGGCTTAATGCTAAAGGTACCATATAAACAAGTGCCTATGAGAACAAAACCATTTTTATAGAAGAAAAATTAACACCATTATAATTTTCAGGATTTAAGAGGAGTGCTCAAATATTAATCAACTTCATTGCAATCTTAATTTTGATTTTGAAATTTCAGTTTTAATTTTGATGATCAATTATGGAAGCTTTAAGAGATTTTTTTTCTCACTTCTTTCTCTGCTTCCCTTTTATTTTTTTCATTGCTCATCCATTTGGGGGTAAGCAGTAGAAGTAAAATTTAAATCGGTCATTTTTTTCCTATTTTTTTTTATCGGAGCTGATAAAATTTTTCTTTTAAGGAGGATAAATTATACAATGAGGCTTTTAAGTTACATCTGGGTTTTTTTTTGTTTACATTTATTCTATTAATATCCAATGGTAATAGAAAATTGCTTTATATTACAATCAGGTAATTGATAATCTGAATTCCATGGGTATTTAAACTTTAAAGGAAGGAAATGGGGGAAAAAAACAGTTTAGCATAGTAAATAGAATAAGACTTGATGTGAATGAAAATTTCAGTTGCTAGATCTGTTACTGTTAGACTAAATATATATACCTTTAATTTCTTCTCTGTAAAATGAGGTTAATAATACTCAACAGTTACATTGCAGAAATGTTTTAAAGATATTCTCAAAGCCTATAATATTCACTATAAAGAGATACATAACATTTACAATTATAATTTAAGATGCAATTATATAATATTTACATTTTCCGAATATGAGCAGTTTTAAAACCAGTCACTTCAAATGCTTTGATGTGAGTATTTTAAGGACTGGGGGTTAATTATCTCTAGAAAATTATTTTAGTAAATAGTTGGACCTGTACTCTTAAGTTTATTTTCTGAATAGTTTTCTCCCAGAAAAGTGATTCTAATGACATCTATCAGGTCATTCCATTTACTCATTCACTCATCCTCCAAATTGCTTGGATTTAAAATAACCTAAAAAATAATATCCTTTTTATTTTTTTATTTTTTATTTTAATTTTTTTTTTTATTAATGCCTGCAGCACCTGGTATTCCTAGGTGGTCTCCTATTCAAGTACTAACCAGGCCCAACCCTAAATAATATCTTTTTTTAAACTTGGCACCTTTTTACATATACTTAGGGCATAGTAAGCATTTAGTAGTACTGATTGAATTAAATTTTGTTCTTTTTATTTTGTGATATGTTGTATGCAAATATATGTATATTGTGTACATTATTCATTATTTATGTTTTTTTTTAAGTGTTCTTTTCTTAGTAGTTAATCGTTTAAGTCCCTTTCACTCAGTTTAATAAATAGATTTGAGGGAGAGAGTTAACATTTTATGTCTGGATAGGAAAGTAGTATTTTGGGCAGGGAATATCAAAAAGAATTCCTGAGTTATGTCAAGCTCTTGATTGTTTTATCTTCAAGATGTATAGATTTGTAAGTTAGATGAATGTTTTTTCTCTTCTAGTTTGTCATTCCTTCTGAAATGAAATCTGAACATCATCAAGATCAACCACATGCAATATCTATTCAGAGCTCTGAAATGATTGCCACAAATACAAGGCACTGTCCAAACTGTCGACATTCTGATCTAGAAGCTTTATTTCAAGACTTCAAAGATTGTGATTTTTTCAGTAAAACGTATACCAGCTTCCCTAAATCTGGTAACAATTTTAATCTTCTACATCCAATCTTCCAGAGACATGCTCACGAACAAGATACCAAAATGCATGAAGTTTATAAAGGAAATATTACTCCTAAATTGAATAAACACACTCTTAAAACTTCCTCTGCCACAGATGTTTGGGCTGTGTACTTTTCTCAATTTTGGATAGATTATGAAGGGATGAAAAGTGGAAAAGGACGACCAATAAATTTTGTAGACTCCTTCCCTCTTTCCTTCTGGATTTGTCAACCAACGAAGTATGCACTGTCACAAAAAGAGCTGCAGACTTGTAATCAGGTATCTTTAAATACATCACAAAGTGAATCTAGTGACCTTACTGGGCGATTGAAGCGGAAGAAGCTCTTGAAGGAGTATTACAGTACAGAGTCTGAGCCCTTGACAAATGGTAGTCAGAAACCTTCTTCAGACACTTTTTTAAGATTTTCCTCTTCATCCTCAGATGCAGATATTCATGTCCTGGTTCACGTTCATAAACATGTTAGTATGCAGATCAATCACTACCAGTATCTGCTCCTGCTTTTCCTCCATGACTCACTTCTTCTGCTTTCAGAGAACTTAAGGAAAGATGTAGAAGCTGTGACTGGCAGTCCTGCTACTCAGACATCCATTTGCATTGGAATTTTACTTAAAAGTGCAGAAGTGGCTCTTTTGCTACATCCAGTGGATCAAGCAAATACTCTTAAGTCTCCTGTTTCTGAAAGTGTGAGCCCAGTGGTTCCTGATTATTTGCCTACAGAAAATGGAGAATTCTTGTCTTCAAAAAGAAAAGTTAGTAGTGGTATAAATCAAATTAGAAATATAACTGTTAATCATATGTCAGACAGCAGATCTATGAGTGTTGACCTTAGTCATGTCCCTTCGAAGGATCCTTTGCTTTTTAAATCAGCTAGTGATACAAATCTACAAAGAGGTATTTCTTTTCTGGATTATTTATCAGATAAAAATTTAGGGAAAATAAGTGAAGATGAAAGTAGTGGAATTGTTTGCAAAAGTGGCTCCAGAGAAATTGAAAGTGATAAAAAGGATTTATCTTATACACATTCAAATAGTATCTTAAACTACAGAGAAGATTCAAGTTTGCTGTCATTTGATAATGATGGTAATCAAAACATGCTTTCAAATAGTTTAACTAGTAAAGGAAGTGAAACCATAGAGTTGATCTTTAAAGCTGAAGATTTGCTTCCAGAAACAGTTTCACTCTCTGAGAACCTGGAAATCAGTAAAGAAGAAGCATCTGCAGTTAGAACACTTAAATCCCAGTCATCTTTAAGGTAACTACATACTATTGGAATTCGGGGAGGGAGCATTGTTTTACTGTGTGTGTGTGTGTGTACGTACATGGGAGCATATTTTGGTTTGAACAGAAACCCTCATTACAAAATATGACGTTGTTAGAGTTAATATGTGATGAAGGGTAGTTTTTTCAAAATATGAAAACGAGCTTATACTTGTAAAATACCATTTAAAAACTTGATACTGTATACATATTTTAATTTTGTTAGAAATAGTTTTTAGAATTTTTTTTGTTATATGTGACGATTTTCTAATAATTTTGTTTGTTAACAGTGGAAAACCTAAGGAACGGTGCCCACCCAACCTGGTTCCACTCAGTGTTCCTTATAAGAATATGAAAAGAAGCCCTTCACAAACCTCACTGGATACCATTTCACTTGACAGTATGGTATTGGAAGAACAGGTGTTAGAAAGTGATGGATGCGATAGTCATATGTTTTTGGAGAAAGGTAAAGCAATACAGTTATATTGAATAATTATATTGAATAATTACAGCCTCCAAAATGCTTATATTTATACAGACATACATGCATACTACAAAGAGCATTGTACCTAACTTTCTGATGGTTGTTTCAGTGCTGCTTTTAACCAAATACTTCTTTCTTTTTGTGGTTAACATCCAGCAATTATTTGTATACAGTTATTTAGGTCATAAAGCAGACAGCATTAAGGCTACAAGCCTCTCTCACAGATGCTTTATATCTGGAATTTTTATTAGGTGGCCTTAATTAGCATGATAGATTCTTAATTTTGTGGTCCTAGGACTGGAACTTTTTCAGAGTAGATCTACTGATTCCTATAACCAGGATTTCTCACATACATGATTATATATGATGGAACTTGTGATCGCCCCATTTTATTCAGGGGCAACGAATGCCCCAGTAAAGACCACTAGGAAGGACTTAGAATTAGCTGTATCCTTGGTCCTAAAAATTGTTTTATTCATTCTTTCAGAAGGTAATTTATTGAGCACATACTATGTTGCCAGGCACTGGGTTAGAAGCTGATTATATAATAGTAAATATAATAATAAAAACATTGAGGCTGTGTTTTCTATGTCTTTGACTTTTCTGTCTAATTTTTCTAGTAATTTATTTTTACAGTATTTTTTTAAAGTATTGATCTGTGGCAGACACAAAATGTTTTAAAAATTGTCATTTAGCATAGAGAATTTGAGAAATACTGAAACAGAAAATGAAGGCAGGTAGAAAAAGATGGAGAATGATTACATTGATGATAGAGGCATTAACTTCATGCAGATGATAATTAGGAGTTACTGTAGGATACTGTAAAAAAAAATTAAGTGGTCAAACTGGGACTCTTCAATGTATGATAGTGTAGCGGGGCCAAGCCGACTGACCAGGAACCACTAGTTCCACCAGCACCATTTCTGCAGTGGGGAAAACACAGGCTGTGGTTAGCTGTGGTGGCTTTCTTTTTATACTATCTAAGTTTAGGGTTTCAGTATCTCTAATGTTTTATTATGGGAAGTTCTTATTTGCTAACTAACCAAAATTTAATTTTTTTTTTGTTATTGTCTCTTAAACAAAGCTATGCTTAAGAAAGAGTTAAAGGGAGAATCTGTTTTGATTAGATAAATGTAATGTTTTTGGGTCATGTGTAAAATGAATTTTCATTTATTCATTTATTTTTGTATTATTTCAGATATTAAAAAGAATTCAACTACAAATTATCAGAGCCCAGCAGATAGTGCAAATGCCAGTGCAAACCTACAGAATTATGGTGAAACCTCACCAGATGCCATCAGTACAAATTCAGAGGGTGCTCAAGAAAATCATAATGACTTGGTAATCATTTCAGAGAGATTCTATGAAGAGAAATGCCACTAACTTTGTCTCATATTCAATATGTACACATTTTAAGACATTAATATATAAAATGAATTGTTTGGGATTGTGGATGATTCACTTTGCTCTTTCTGCTCTTGAAAATTCCTCCCTCTTACTGAATTTTCTCTGGATTTCATGTAAAAAAATTTTTCATATTGTGGAGGAGAGGGTCTATCTTTTCCCATCTTTTTTTTTTAACCTTTATTTTAGTTCCATTTGAAAACACTTTGAAGAAGTTTGATGGTAAGGATAGTACTCAGTTCCTTTGGGGGCTTTCTACAAAAGAAATGTATTACTGATTTATTTAAGCCCTGTTCACCTGGTAAAATGTTCCATAGATGACTTAAAAAATATGTTCAACTTTTAGTGAAAACAATTTCACGCGGAAATGTTGTATAATTAGTCTTTTTGATCTAAAATAAGTCTTGACTGAATAAGAAAGGAAGCTGAAGTTTGTCACTATCATGTAATAACCACATTCTGCTGGTCACAGGCATATATTTGGTTTATTAGGCCATAGTATTTTTAGAGGTTTCCTGTGTTATTTTTAAAATTTTGATTTTAATTACTTGGTATACTAATATTATTTATGCAATCATTGTTAGATGTCAGTCGTGGTATTTAAGATTACTGGTATTAATGGGGAAATTGACATCCGAGGAGAAGATACAGAAATCTGTCTTCAAGTGGACCATGTGATACCAGATCAGTTAGGCAACATCAGTCTCCGGCATTACCTTTGTAATCGTCCAGTAGGTAAGATTTTAATACAATTTGAACTTATTTTTTTTTATATACATATGACCCATCAGCAGTTCTAGCTTTGATATAAATGAATCCAAGGAAAATTACATTTATTTATAATAGTGCAAAGGATTTGTTCTTTTCGATAACCTTATTATTAGCAATATAATCTTTTGAAGATGTATTCTCTCATTTCTTTTTGTTTCTGCTGTTGATAAGTTCCATTTTTTACTTTTTCAGTTTTCCCACCTTTGAGATAATAGCTCTGAGAAAACTGAGCTCTTTCAATATGAAAAGAGTGATAAAGTAATCCTAGAAGGTCAAACTTAGTTCCACACTAGAATAAGTGTCAATTTCTGCATTCCATTATTTTTCTTATAAGGAGACATTTCCTGAGTCTGGCATGATACTTGGTATTTTCATGGTTTTCAGTCATTTGAAGTTTATTAGAATTGTTATACTAAGAATTTAAAATGACAATATTCAGTTTTTAAAATGTTTTAAAAAGTCACTGAGCTGTAGTATTTTTATTTGCTATATACACAGAATGCTGTATCTGATACATAACATTGAAGTACATACAGTCATACATGATATGAAATTAAGTATGCTATCACTTGCATCATAGGACTTGCAGGTAAATATGCCATTTTTCTGTAAGCCAGCATCATGGAAAAATATTGGCTCCTGGCTTTATTCTGTGTGTAGGCCTTGCAGTTGACAATATATCTGCTGAAAAAAAAATTTCAGGAATTTTATATTAGCAAGTGTACATTCCAATAGCATGCAAAAGGGTGAAAGCCTGTATATATTGGAAAGGTTTCACAGTGGACCAAAAAAAAAAAGGTCGAACATAAAATTTCAAAACCTAGACCTTGTTCTATACACAATCCAAACACTATTCAAATTGTATAGTCTTAGATTCAGTTGTACAATTATTTTTTTATTTTTCTTTATAGCTCACTTAGTACCATATCCTATTACTTTGTTTCATGTTGTTCCTGACTGAATCAATCACTTGAAATGCTTTGTATGTATGGGTTATGTAGTCATTGCTATCTGATAGCTTATGTTTTCCCAACTGTCTCAATTGGTTGTTTGAAGGATTTAAAAAAAAAAAAACCACACACACACACACAAAGAAGAAAGAAAGGAAAGAGAAAGGAAGGAGGAAGGCTAAAGGGGATAAATGGAAAAAGAGGGAAAAAAAGTTTAACTTGAACATTTCAAACCTCAGTGAGCCATATGAAGATTGTATTTGATTGCTTTTGTTTGTTTTTCTGTAATGTGTGGATTTTGGATCTCTTTAATAGGAAATCTTTAATATAAGTTTCATGGCATAAGAGGTAGTAGGAAGGAGTGGTTTTTAACTAATGAAGATTTTGTTTTTATTTCTGCTCTACGTAAATACTCTTTTGTTTGAAATTATTTCTGGCTTTCAGCTCCCTGGAGCATGGGTGGGTGGAGGGGGTGTGTGTGTGTGTGTGCGTGTGTGTGTGTGTGTGTGTGTGTGTGTGTGTGTAGATATGTAAATGAAGACTCAATAAAATCACATTTACCAAGTTGTTTCCAATTGCTCTTATTTTTAAATAGACAATTTAATTTACTCTTGTTTTTCTTGATGTAGGAAAAAAACACTAACTTATCTAAATACATGTTCACATCCATATTGAAGGGAAATAAACATTTTTTATCATGAATTGGCGGCGGGGGTTCTTGTTATGAAAATCCATGGGACAGATGACTTTGATACCTCAGTAACTGAAACAGCATTGCCTTTCTGGAACAATTTAGTTTGTTTTTAACTCATAGGTTCTATGATTTGTGAAATTGATTGTACTTTTCTCCTTGCTGCTAGGAAGCTCAGTTTTGGTCTACCTTTGACAGAAATTTAACTAATGTATTTCGAATTATTAACCTTACTACCTATCTTTAACTTTTCCCTTCTATCCTTATTTTTCCATTGCTTACTTATATTTTATCTGATTATGCCATGTGCATATTGCCTTTTATTCTTTTTGGAGCTACATAACATAAAATAGTTACCATGAGGGCCAAATCATTTTGGTGGTTCCACTAGGACCTTTTATTTTTTTAAATTAGATATTCTTTGGTTGCTTTATTAAATTTTAAAATTTGTTTTTGAACTTGAGTGTTTATATCTGTAAGTTACCTTAAGTTTTTTTTTTTGGAACAAGGCTAAGGCATAAATAAATGTGAATATATACATTTCTTTTGCTATAATTTTAGTTTTAAGATTGTCTTCTAGTAGAAACATTTTACTTTTATAATTATTTAATACCCAGTTTTAATAAATATGTAATTTCTTCATTATAATAGTCCATGATACTACAAATTTATAGTTGGATATATAGCCAGATACACTTTCAAGTATCTGAAATATGCATGATACCAAATTTATATAATGGCATGTTTTTTCATGTTACCAAAAAATAGAAAATATAGACAAGTCAGCATTATTGCAGTAGAAGATGGTCTATAAAAATTGAAATTAGGGTTGTCTATGGTATTTTGTGTATGGACTGTAAATATTTAAATTAAGGGTAAATACTAAAACTTTATTATTGCTTTAATATTATACAGTGTGACAATAACCTCTAATGACAAATAATCAAAAATAACATTTTTTAGTGGTGCCACAAATTTATAATCTTATGGTTTTTTTCCATAGGTTCTCATCATAAAGCTGTCAGTCATTCCAAATCTTCTCCTGAGATTACTCTAAGATTTGAAAGTGGGCCTGGTGCTCTAATACACTCTGTGCTTGCAGAAAAAAATGGTTTTTTACAATGCCATATAGAAAACTTTAGCACTGAGTTTCTTACTTCTTCTCTTATGAATATTCAACATTTTTTGGAAGATGAAACTGTTGCAACAGTGATGCCAATGAAGATACAAGTTTCTAACACAAAAATAAATTTAAAAGTATGTTAATAATACTTTCATATTTTCATGATATAAATGTTTACTTTGCCAACATGGACTTTAATTCATGTCTAAGAATATGCCTTGTCTATAATATATACTCCATCAGCATTTATTGAAATGAATTTGTTGGTCTTTGTGGTGAATGATGTAAAGATCCTGCTTAGAAATTGGAAAATATCAAAATAGAATGGGAAGATTTCTCTGTGTATCAGCTAAAGCATGTGAATATAAATTTCAAACTCATTAAAAATATGATTGAAGTAATATTTGTTAAGATAATGATTATTTTAATTTCATCATTTGCTTTAATAACAACATGCCGATACTATTTGTGTTTTCTGTAGGATGACAGTCCTCGTAGTAGTACAATATCCTTTGAACCAGCTCCTGTAACCGTTCATATTGATCATCTTGTGGTAGAGAGAAATGATGATGGCTCTTTTCATATCAGAGGTATATATGAAAAACAATTTTAATGAACACCTACTGAAATTTGAAGTTAAATTATTTACATGCTGATTGTTTCTTTTCCCTCATACTTATTGTTTATTTTATATGTATGTGCATAGTAGTAGATTGAGTGACTTTCGGTACATTGTAATAAAATATTACCTATGAATGGTTCTCTACCTCAGAAATAACCATCTACAGTTGATTTAGTACCTGTTCTACAAATGTATTTTGAGTGAAAGTGAGAGAGGCTTTCATGGCCTTACATGTCTCTTGATCTTAATTAGGTCTCTTGATCTCTTTCTTAGCTTTATTTCCCACTATTCTTTTGTATTTACTCAACCAACCTGGTATACTCCCTGTACTGGAATTTCTCTTGCATGTTCAAATCTCTGTATTCTTATTGCTTGTTATTCCTCATTAGAATTGTTCATTCCCTTCCAAGGTTATCTCTAGTTTTTTCTTTTCAGTGAACCTACTCTGTAACCTGATATGACTTTTTATAATTTTTGGATGCTTACTCTCTGCAAATCAGTTACTTAAGGTATATTGCTATGTATTTAGTTCTGCTATAATGTTTGTATCTCCACATTAACAAGCCTTTGAAGTCTCTAAGAATTATATCTTATAAGGTAGTGTAAAGTAATGGAAAGAGCTTGAGTCAGTACTTAGGTGTTCTGGTCCTTACTTTGTTAGTAACTACTTGAGGGTGAAATATGAGGGACTGATTTTGCATCTATTTCATCTCCTATCGAAGCCATGAAATGACATAAAATGTGTTAAGAGAACATAAAGTTATAACAGTACTGCAAATGAAAAATAAGTATCATTAATGGATCAGAAATCTTAATCAAGTAAACCAGAGGCAAAACCAGAAAAATCATTAGCTATAATCCACAAAAGACAGGACTCTGGGGTAGGAACAGATTGTAGAGACCTCTTAATTGAAAAGTATTACCCTTTGGGGTTTGGGGTCAACTGTAGCAAATATAGAAGCTCCAAGGTCTGTAACTCTGCAAAGAAGCTCCAAGGTCTGTAACTCTGGCAAAATACAGTAGAGTGCAGGGGGCATCTTGGGCCATAGAAACAGGGCAAAAAGTTTAGAGCAGAGGGATCTTTAAAGATAATGAAGTGTATCAATGGGTGAGAGAGCATCTAGTAGGAGAGGTATATCTTTCTTTGACCCGTGGTATTGAGGTGCCCCTTCACAAAAAAAACAAAAAAAAACATTGAGACACGAGGAATGGAGCTAGAAATTCCAAAAGGGATTTAAAGGGAGTTCCAGAAAGAGAACAGAATAAAAGGCAAAAGGAAAAATAATTGAAGAAGTAATAAAACATCCCAAATTTGAAGGAAGAAACAAGTCTTCAAATTGGTGGAGCCAAACAGGTGCAGAGCAAAGCAAATGAAAAATAATTCTTACCTAGAAATACTGGTCAAATTTCACAATACTAAGGATAAAGAAAAAAGTCCTAAAATCTTCTAGAGAGAAAAGGCAAAAAGAAGAGAATCATATTTGCATCAGACTTTCCATTGGCAACACTGGATGCTAAAAGATATGCAAATCTTTAAAGTTCTGGGGGAAAATAATTTTGAACCTCAACTTTTATTTTAAAGGCAAAAATAAAGACTTCTTTTTCTCTTTTTATTTTTCAATTAGAGTTGACATTCAATATTATTTTATATTAGTTTCAGGTGCATAGCATAGTGGTTAGACAATATAATTTACAAAGTGATCCCCCCAATTAGTCTAGTACCCACCTGGCATTATGAATAGTTATTACAATATTATTGACTATATTTTCTATGATGTACTTTACATCCCCATGACTATTTTGTAACTACCACTTTGTATTTCCTAATCCCTTCATCTTTCTTACCCAGCCCAAACTGTCTCCCATTTGGCAACCATCAGTTTATCTGTATCTATGAGTCTGCTTCTGTTTTGTTTGTTTTTATTATTCTTTAGGTTTCACATGTAAGTGAGATCATATGGTATTTATCTTTCTCTGTATGACTTATTTCACTTAGAATAATACCCTCTACATCCATCTATGTCGTTGCAGTTGGTAAGATTTCATTCTTTTTTTATGGCAGAGAAGACAATTTTTTAAGTGGAAAGAATTACTTAGTTAAAATGAAAATTTAATAAGGAACAGTAATAAGTAAAGAAACTAGTAAACCTTGGAGTTAAGTCTAAATTTTTGTTTGTGCATAAGAATAATTTTTTATATGTGCAACTAAAATTCCAGATGATGTCAGTATGAGAGGTTGGAATTGGGAAAAAGTAAGGGGTATAGAGAAGTAAAACTGTGCTAAAGTTTTTGTCTTTTTGAGGGGGAATTAACACTAGACTTTAAAAAAATATTTGTTAACGTTGTATGCTTAACCTTAGAAGTCCAAAAATAATAATTTTTAAACCATTAGCACTGAGAAAAAACCAGATGGAAGTATCCAATTAATACTCTATTTTACATACAAAAGACAATATATAAAAAATGAAATTAAAAGAAAGGATAGTAAATAGAAAACATTAAATTAGAATATAGGAATTAATCATTGCAGTAAATATGAGTGGTTTAAATTCCCTTGTTAAAAGACAGACGCACTGATAGAAAGTTAGGGGGAAGAATTCAGATATACGCTGCAATAAGATATCCCTCCGAAACAAAATGGCACAAAAACACTGAAAATAAGGTGGGAAAAATGTATATATATCAGACAAGGGCTAACAAAAGGATTAGAAATGTTGAATTAAAAGTATAAAATGGAACAGAGATTTCTTTTTTTTTTTTGATAGACTTTATTTTTTAAAGCAGTTTTAGGTTCACAGCAAAATTGAGTGGGAGGTGCAGAGATTTCCCATGTATCTTGTCACCCCAGAATAGAGTCTTCCACATTATAAACATCTCCCACCAGAGAGGTATTTTTGTCCAATTGATGAACCTACATTGACCTGTCATTATCATCCAAAGTTCATTGTTTATGTTAGGGGTCATTCCTGGTGTACATTCTCTAGGTTTGGACAAACAAATAAAGACATGTATCTACCATTATAGTACCATACAGAGTAGTTTCACTGCCCTAACAGTCCTCTGTGTTCTACCTGTTCATCCTCCTTCCCCCCACCAACCCCTGGCAACCAGTGGGAAAATAATTTTAAACCTCAATTTTATTTTAAAGGCAAAAATAAAGACTTTTCCAGAATGTCATGTAGTTGGAATCATACATAGCCTTATTGGATTGGCTTCTTTCACTTGGTAATATGCATTTGAGGTTCCTTTCAAGGCTTAATAGCTCATTTTAGAGCTGAATGATACTCCACTGTCTGAATGTTCCATAGTTTATTTAACCATTCACCTTCTGTAGGACATCTTGGTTGCCTCCACATTTTGGCAATTATGAATAAAGCTGCTATAAAACACTCGTGCAGGTTTTTTGTGTGGACATATTCAACTCCATTGGGTAAATACCAAGGAGTGTGATTGCTGGATCTGGTGGTAGAGTATGTTTACTTTTGTAAGAAAATGGCCGGACCATTTTGTATTCTCACTAGCAACGAATGAGACTTTTTATTGCTCCAGATCCTCACCAGTATTTGGTGTCAGTGTTCTGTATTTTGGCCATCCTAAATAGGTGTGTAGAGGTATGTTGTTTTTATTTGCATTTCCTTGGTGGCATGATGTAAAGCATCTTTTCTTATGCCTATTTACCATCTGTATATTCCTACTTTAGTGGAGTGCCTGTTTAAATTGTTGGCCCCAGAGGGAGATTTCATATTGATAAAAAAACTCCCCTCCAAAAAAACCACAAAAACGTACCCCGGTCATAAACCTTTACCCATCTAACAACAGAACAGGAAAAAAAAAAGCAAACCTGTTTCAAATAAAGAGAAATGGAATTATATCATAGTGAGATACTACAATCATATGGAGAAATTTTAGCATGCCTCTCAGAGTACATTAAAAATTTTTTAAATTAAGTACATAAATTCTATAATTGAATTTTTTGCTTTATGTCTCTATTCGTGTATACACATTGGAGAAACACAGCATTAAACATCAATTTGATGAGTAAAAACTAATTTTAAAAAAAAGGTGCTTTGAAATTTCTTCCTCAATATTTTCCCCTACATTTTTTATCTATATTTTCTAGTCAGATACATATTTTACCAGTTGTGAACTGTATTTTAATGTAGTAGCTAAAGGCAAAAGTAAGTCACTGGTCAGTCCAGTAAGGGTATATCTTTTCTTGAAGATCATTTCAATATGGAAATTTTATTTGGATTTGTTTTTAAAGTTGTATGGGTTTAAAAACAGAATTATATCTAACTTAGCAGTGTGCTCTAATGAAGGCAAGGTAGTATCTATTTTTATTTTTTTATTATGACATCTCATGTTTGTGCACCTCATATCTTACATTTTTGAAAACTTGAAGCTGCTTAAAATGTTTTCCATTTTAAGAATATATATTTTTTCTTATTTCATGCCTTTACAATGACACTTATTTGGATGATTTCAGCAATGATGAAATGTTAGATGAAAAAGGCATATGCTAGATTATGTAAAAATGGGCATCAAAACAGTATTATTTGAACTTAAGCAGCAGCTCTCATGTAAATTGTAGATGTACCTTTCAAAAGCTCATTGGTATAATTTCCATTACATTGTTATTCAGGATATTAGCACTGTAAAAATTCAAAGATTATTTTAAAATACTTTTTCATTGGCACTGGGAAGAATAACATATTTTAAGTATAAACAAGTATGCTTTGTTTTATATAGGGTGTTTCATGTTTTATTTCAGTGTATTCCTAAAAGCAGTGTCGTAAAACTGTTTGTGTATGTTACTTTTCTTATGATGTGGAAATTAATTGCATTAGGGTCTTCAGTGTGTAAAGTATATCATGTAACATATAGCCTAAAATACCACACATGTATGATAATGTATCATATATGACTCAAACTAATACATTAGCCATGATAAAGAAGTATTAATGAATT